ATAAAGATGTATTGGTGTGTGTGTCCCATGAGTATCAGACAGGCATGTCCTCCAGGCCCTCTACAGGCTTTCAGTTGGATGAGGACTCCAGTTAGCCCTGGGACCAGGCACAATGGTTAAGCACCTGTGAGTACAATTAAACCTTTCTGTTCCAAAATAGGGTGGCTCCTTCAAACTATCCACAGCAGTAGTCGTTGGCACATGCTGTCCCCCGAAAACATACCCCAAGGCAGTGGCTGGAAGGGTTACAGGTGGCACTGACCAGAACTGTGCCAGGGAATAGTTCAGCGATCAGTCATGCTGTTTGTGCAAACGCCTGTACCCTGACCCTGGTAATTTTCTAGTATAGATGTAGCCTCAGAGATGTAACTAGCCTCAATTGAGACCTTGGAGCCTGCAAAGTTAAGATACCTAACTCTATAGCAAAGCTAAACACCAATGAACCGTTTTTTGGAGGTTAACACCAACCCATCCTCTAACTCAGTGGGGAGATGATGTTTTTCCAGTAGCAAGCCATTACTGTGGCTAGGATCTTGGTGCATACGTCTGGAACCAAAGAAGGCCAAACAAAATGACTGTGAGGTGGTATTGGTACTGACCAGTGGAGAAAGACAGCTATTAGGCAGCCCCCTGCTGCTGTTCATGTGAACATAGCTGAAGTGCAGTGTACAAAACATAGCTTGCCTGCAGAGGCATTGTCATCATCATCCTGGCTTGAATTTGAATTTGCAGGTGATCTTAGGTATATAAGGTCAGCCAGGGCTGTCACCCCCTTTTCCACTGAAGCATCACTAGTACCCCTGAGACCAGCTGGGGAAAGCAGGTTATGTTATCCCTGATCAATGCCAGGGTGTGATGCTCAGTTGACTTCACATGTAGGAATTCCCACAGCCTGTGCTGTCTGTAATTCTGTGCACTGAGCTTGAAGGAGCTACAGTACTTCACAGGAGCATGCGGGGAGGTTAGCTGCTTTGTAAGGGGAGGAGGAGTTGTGGTTTCTTGTTGGGAAGACCTCTCTGGACTCCCTACCATCCTACCACCATATCCAGTGCTGCCAGCAAAGCACTCACAAATGGAAGTTGGCTTTCAGTGCTTATCTGGGTGCTGTGGAACACAGAGCGCTGAAGATCCGTATGAAAGGCGGAACTTTTATGTGCAGCATGCTGCACCAGAGCAGCTGGCAGTTCCGAACGGTGTCCTGCTTTTCTGCAGAGGAGCAATGCAAGCTTTAATAAAAGACAAATGGTTGGGGAAGGACAAGTGAAGGAGGAGGTCAGTCATGAGGTGGAGGAAAGGGCAAATGAAAAAAGCCCCATTCCATTTCTCTCTCCTGCCCATATAGGATGAAGATGTGTTCTGACTTCTCATTCTCTCTCTCCCCAGGCAAAGCCTAATACTGCTAGAGCTGAGCCATCCACTCTGGGTGCACCTCCAGATTAGGTTGTGTATACGTGGCCGTTATTTAGGAGTAGAACAGGGTTTTTTTTTATTATGGATACAGTGGAAGAGAATATGATAAGTAAAAAGTTTAGATCAACTGGTAACAGTGGAAGTTGCACCGAGGTGCAAAACAGGCCTTTTAAGACACAACAAGTAGCAGCCCTCTGACAGGTTAAAAAAGGGAGGCTAGGTTCAGGTGAAAGTTGCTTAAGTAGATGCTCATCTAGAAATATTTCTGTCTCTGGCCGGTTATTGTTGAAGCATTAAGGAGAGACAGCAGGGAGGAACAGTTAGAGTGTAGGCTCTAACTACATACCAGACCAACAAATAACAGCCAAACCCTGATCAGATGTTTTTTAAGATGCATGCATACCATTAACGCCAATACTTGAACACCAAAGTGAAATTGCAATTCTAGCATCTAATTCCTTTAAAATCTAGAAGACAGGTTCTCTTCTCCAGGCAGAGGATTGGAGCGAAAAGAATGGCAAGTGTTACTTCAGAAGGAACACCTAAACCTCAATGCAGAAGAAGAGTAACTGTGGAGTCTTCGAAGCAGGACATGCTACAACTCATTCTTCTTTCACCTGAACGCACAGCTCAGAAGCAAGGCTGGACGGTTTGACTACACCAAGACTAGTTTTGTTGATTGTCAGTCCTTTGAGGTGTATATCCTGCACTGCAGAACCTCACAGGTTTGGCTTGCTTACAATAGCAATGAGAAGGGAAACCGCTCGTCTCACTGTAGTTCATCCAGGCAGAGCAGCACACTGCTGGTCAGTGATAACGTCATGTTTTGTGACTGCCCAGAGAAAACATCCCTGAACTGAAAAGGGCAAAAGACTAGCAAAATCAATGGGCCAGGACAGGATTGTGGGGTGTCTGCAATCTACTGCTTATATTCACAACTCCATACAAATATGACCCTGGGGGGGAATATTTGCTATTATGAAAAAGAGAACTGTAGGAAAGTGTGTTGAGGGGAAGCCACATTTCTGTTGGGCTCAGATTTGTAAATTGATTGTCAGAAATTCCTCCATCCTAATATAACATTTACCTCTGTGCCTGAGGTCAAAGAAGCTGATGAGGCAGTTAACTCAGCCATGGGGTATGAGGTGGCAAGGATGAAAAAAGTTATTTGGAGATGAGTGTGCCTGCATTTATATGTGCACGCATGCGCACTCCTGGCCTTTCTCCCAATATGACTTCCCTCCGTTTTCCTAAGCAGATTAAAAATTATGTTCTCCCACACCAACTTTTAAACAATTTGGAAGGACGTGCTACAAATTCAGAAGAAAAAAAAAAATCCCAACCCTTGCTATTTCAAGTGAAAAGATCATTTTAAAAATCATTGCATGATACCACAAGGTACTTTGGATGTAGTCAGTCAATTCAGACAGATGTATTATTGATTGTGTTGAACTGTTTTCAAAATACTAAAGAGTTAACAATTTGTAAGTACACGTTTACCCTGCTGGCAGGAGTTATATTCTGGCTGCATAAAGCAGTGATGATAATAGGTGGTGGGGTTTTTTTGTTGTTTTGGGGGGGGATCTGCTGCAGTATTAGCACTTTTCAAAAAGAATGGTCCTTGAGGAGGTAAAACTTACAATGAAAAAATGTTTTCATTTGTTACTGAGGAGTCTTAATTCCTTTTGATTATTAAAGAGCAAGTAAATTAGAACAAAAATGTCTTGACTTAAAGCATGTCTTTTGAAAACGACACAGTTAATGTCTTCTGTTGCTTTCTTTGGACTGAAGGTAGTTGTCAAATTTAATACAAACAGGTAAAACATTGCAGTAAAAAGTGATGTTTCCACTGAAAACTGTTGTCTGATTCTAACAAAGTCCAATCTGGAGTGGTATATTCAAAGTTAATTTTTAATTCATGTGCCAATTTACCTTCATAACAAAAAATTCTTTTCACTTAGAAAGAATCTGTAGTGAGCATTCAATTATGTATTCCTGCATTTTGCACCATCCCCAAAGTATCTGTGATAAATTAATGAATCTCTCCAGTAATAATTCAATATTCCTTTTTAAAATGGTTATTAACTTTTCCTAGACCTTACTGTTTTTTTCTGTTTGTTTTTTTCTTCTTCTTTTTTTTCTTTTTTTTTTTCCTTTTTTTCCCTTTTTTTTCTTTCAGGTTAAGCACCAGCTTAATTAAAATTAAATTGTAATTATTTTTAATGGAGAACTGATTCTTTTGCAGAAGTGCAAACCCCATTGTGAATTCTTCTTGATTTAAAGGAAGCTTCTGTTGCTATAGCTTGCGCCTACAATTCATATAAAGGCAAATCTATCGGCTTGATTTCTAGAAATACTCATTCCAATAGCTGAAATGGATCTGCTGTGTTTTATTCATCAGCCAGCCCTGGAGTTCTGATGGTTTATAAGATTTTCATCTCCTCTGTATTTACAGCGTATAAAGTTCTTCCTTTTAAAGTGCATCAAAGCTTCAAATAAATGGATGTTTTCAACCAAAGCCTTCCTCTTAAAGGCAGAAGACTCTTATTTGACTGATGCTCTGATTTCATTCATTCAGACGGCTACATGGGTTTGTAGCGCAGTTACTCTTTTCAACCTTGCTTTGGTGCTCGTTTTGGCGATTCATTTGCTTTATACACAATTCCTTACCTGAATTAGCAAATGTTCTTCCTCGAGTGCACCTGACCTTTGTGTTGGAATCATGCTGAAAAAAGTATTTTACTTTGATAGGGGAAGCTAATTTATTTTTAAGTACTGGGCTAATTTTTTCTCTGTCATATCCTCGATGAATATTACTGTTTCTCTTCAGTTATACTAGGGAGTATAAAGAGCCTCACTGGCTCTGGTTAAAATGACAAAAAGTGTTTTTCCCAAGGAAAACCTCATCTTTCTAACAGATCTCTCATGCCATTCTCTGGTAAGCTAGCTCCCTTGCTGGCGTGTGAGCACAGCACATGAACTCAGCACCACAGCAGCCCAGTTCATGCTCTGTATTAAGTTGAAGGGTGTGCAATAAATTCCTGTGGCCTGCAGATTAATGTTAGAGGTGGGAAGCAACCATTGAGAGTTCTTTAACATCTGATTGATGGTGCTTAACCGTTTCAGTTCCCTGCTAAGCTCTAGCAGCTATTCAGGACACAGAGAGGGGTTAGCCCTGCGGAAGGATCAGCACGAACAGAATTCTGGATGCATTTTTGCTGGGCTGGACTTAAATGCTAGTTCAGTATCTCCTAAAAACTGCACGTTTTTTTTAGTCTTCTCTCCTCCCCCTTCACACAGCTCTTCTGTGTGATCCCATCTCCCCCCCCCACCTCTTGTCACTGCAATTCTAGGCAAAGAAATAGCCAGCTCCCCGACTGCTGGCTCTAGCTCAGGAGTGGAAGAGCGAGAACTGACGGTGATGACTGGGTGGTGACCGGCTGCAAGCATAAACCCCACTGACTGTGACTTGTCTGAGCTGAGGGTCTGCCACAACGGATTAAAAGTAGATGGTTCCTGCTGGAAGCACGTAAAAGCACTTTATTTCCCCCCTTGAACCTTCTGTGACTCAGAGTGAAACCTGCCGTACATGTACAACTCTTCCACCTGTGTGAACTGAAGGAATTTGGCATTTCACAAGAGTGCTCAGCATTTTAGGGAAATGGACTATAAACGAGTGCAGTGAATTGTTATGCGTACATTTTAAATGTAATGTGAACTGGGTTTGCCTCATTACCACGTTGTAATAATGGAGTCATGACTTTTCCAAGAAAAAAAGAAGATATGATTCAGCTGACCCTGGGAAACAAGTTTTTATAGTAAATTGGAAAAATAAAGCTGGATTTCACAATGTTACGTTATATAATTATATCAGTTTAGTATAGTGAGTGTGATTTGCTTTTGTCTTTTGAAGGTAGCTATCTAGTAATCTAATACTCTATTTGTCAGCAAATGAACATGTATTTCCAACACGGACTCTAGATTAAATCTTAAAAAATGATAATGTAGAGTTAGACCTCCATAGTTACTGCCTGATTAAAATATAAGTAAATATGTTGTTTAAAATATGCAGTAGACGAATATATAGGCAAAAGACTTCAGATATTATGGTGATACTGTTTGCAAAGAATATTAGCATTTACTGATCATTCCTATCATTGCTGCTGTTATTTTATATTAACAATTCTTTAATTATGTGAATGCCAGAAGAGTAAATTCACAAAAAGGAAAATCACTTTACATATAACTTAGTGGGGTAACAATGTCTAGAACCTATTTTAAAGAAACCATGACAGACATCTTTCATTCATCAGTCTGCCACAACAGGAAATGACTTCCTCTAATACACAATGAAATAAATAAAGGTCAGATGGTTCATTTGTCTGCATTTGCTTTGCACAGTTCTACCAGTAAAACAGGATGTTTTCTATTAACATTGCTCCAGATTTCCTGGTAACAATAGCACCAAAATAAGGACCAGATTTTGTCTAGGTGAAATTCACTCCTCCTGCATAAATTCCCTATGCCTAGAATCTGCAAAGAAAAAAGCTGAAGTAAGATGTGGAAGCTTCTAAATTTATGTGTAAGCACCAGGCTGCAATCCGTACAAGCTTACAGGAGTTAGGTACTCGGCTTCCACTGAAACTCAAAGGAGGTGAGCACCTTTGTTCCTAAAGCTTTTTTGAAAATTCCAGCCCTGCAAGATGTGACAGCCTCCCATGATTTGCTCAGGGACAGTATGTATATATACATATATATGAATAGTGCCTTGGGTATTCAATACCTATGCAAGTGAAAAGAAGAGGGTAGAGCATGCAGCTTCTCAACTGTGAGGAAGCAGCAGCCTTGCTGAGCCATACTGCTTATGAGACAGGCTACTGGATCTTCCTCATAGACCACGCTTGACTTGTGCCCTTAAGTGATCTTCAGCTCAGCCAGAAAGACAAGGGGCTGTGAGTTACTTGTTGGCAAACTTTGAACCATGTGGGGTTCAAGTGGAAAGAAGGACTTTAAAGTCAGCCGCATATGCACTGGATGTTCCACCTAACTGGAATGCGGTTTGTGTTGAGGTATGTTTTCTTTGGCTATTTTTTCCTGAAATGTGCAATTGCAAAAAATAAAATATTTACATCATTACAAATGAAATTTCAGTGTCAGCTTTTTCTCTCATAAAATGGAATATTCCTATGTGCAACAGGTGAATTATTTTCCTTGGGGATCAGATACAAAACTGTTTTCAATACAGAGAACAATAAACTGATTACTACAGCTATATACTTTCTGATCAAGAAGTTTCCCCGTCTTCAGCGGTGATGCTTGTCCCATAGCTCCTATATCAGCTCTGTGCCAAGCTTCACAGTAGTTGCTAACCAGTCGGATCCCATTTGCAGTTGAACCATGCCATATTACCTTTTGAGGCCTGAAAGATAATGTTAAGAAGTTACTTCCTGAAAAAGTCTCTTTTTGCTTTATTCAACTGCACACCTATATGTGTGGTGACTTGTATTTCTACTTTCCTTCTGCTTGAAGCAAACAGTGGGTAGAATAGAAAGGAGAGGAAGAAAAGGAGAACACAACCTGATATCCCATTCATAGGCTAGCAGAAATGGAAAAGAAAGATGGCATAAGGAAAGGGAGAAATTTTTATCACATTTCTAGTAGCCCAAGATATTGCTACTTGTACTATTTGGTAAAAATAAATGTCATGTAAAACTCATAAATGGTAATGTAAACTCACCAGGATGGATCGGTCATGACGTTCCTCCCATCAAAGGAGTATATCGGAACATGAATGTTGAATTGTCCACCGTTTCCATTAAATATAGATTCCCAGTTACTGAAAAGTATTTCTCCCTGTTAAAATTTCAAAGGTACTTTTATAAAAAAAAATCAAATCCAAAACCCACGTCATACCTGACTTTTGTAGACTTATCTATACATCTAAAATCTTATCTGCGTTTAAGAACATTTATCATTCCAGCTTTCACATCAGTTTCTGCATGATGCTCCCGAACAAACTTGTCTCATCTATCATCTCTATGCTAATAGCTCTCTGATCCACGCCTTTGCCTCACAGTTGCATCTCTGTTCTATTGTCACTCCAAATATTCAGCTCGATCATCTCCATTTCCACTGTCCTTTCCCTCCTAACTGTCTAAGGGGTTGTTTGAAAAATTGCCTATAACTACTGTAGCTATAGAGAAAATACAGAGATTCTTTGTATTGGAACTTCTGTTGAGGTCACAGTTTTGTCAAAAGCGTGGCAAATGTTCAAGGCAAAAGCTTTGCATCAGGCTACCTCTCAAACTGCTTTTGAGTTTTGCCAGTCGAAGTTGAAACAATATTGTCTTTACAAATTTGTCTCCAAGGCTCTGTATTTGCATGCACTTCAGAGTAGCATCCGTTCAGCATGTTCCAAGCATCACGTGTTATTCCTGTAGGTTCCTTTGGCCGTTTGTTCTGGGAGCCAGCCAACGCTACAGAGACATCGTTTGTTTTCCTCAGTTTTAGTGTGTCTGTTTATGTGAGACCACAAAATGACTCATGCTCTAGACTCTCCTCTTAGTTTCACTGGGGTAAATCCAGCATCACTCCTAAGCACAGAATTTGCCTTTATCTTTAAAAATGAGAAAAATAGGCATTTTAGCCTATTATACTCCGTGATCATACTAGAAGGTAGAACATAATAGCTGTCTTTGAGAAATGAGGATGCACTTTCCCTCCTGATATAAAAAATATCCAGAAAGCCGAACATGATACTGTTGCTTTGTCAGCAATCTGCTCAAAGTAGGCTATTCTCATAGCTTTATTTCTACCATTAGCCTTAGGATATTGAAAAAAGCAAGCCTTGAAAATGCAAAGGAAATGTGAGACAGTCTGTAGCTTTCTACTTTGTCACTACTTTTTTTTCTTGAACCTGACTCCGAAATACGAAGCAAAGCTGCTTCTTTATAAAATGCAGTTTGGGTTGAAACTTTTTGCTTTTGCCATTTTCCAGGATTTTGAGGCACCTACAGCCTATCCTAATATAACAAGTACTAAGTACTCATTTTTACCTTAAGATTGACTATTGGTAAATGGTATCGGTCTGTTTTTCTGACAACTGTGGCCAAATCTTGCAAATGTGATGAAAGGAAGGCTCTATAGGTAGACGTCAAACCTGCTAGTTGGGCCTGTTGAAAACACTGAAAATCTGCTCGCATGTCACCAGAAAATGGCAAATTTAAAGCCACCAGATGCAGCTGGAGAAAAAAAGAAGAAAAGCCACCATTTTTTTAAAGTTTATAATGCTAGGAAGACATATATTGGAAACAAACTAGTCCCCCCCCTCCTCCTGCCAGCACAAGAACTAGTACCTTCCATACCAGGCATGAAAGTTATTTGCTGCCATAACATTACATTTCTTAAAGCTATGAGACCCATAGCAGAAATACCTATTTATCTTTGAACATTAAGGAAACCATGAAGTTTATATACTCCTAAAAACTAATTTTTTTAAAAAAGCAGCTAATATTTTTAAGCAGAAGTCTTGGAATTATCACACAAACAAAATCCCAAATCCTACAAGCATGGAAATAAGTAGTAAGAAGTGACCATATACCATTTAAAAATCCACTGTTATCAAATACACGAAGTAGCATGCTTAAGTCAAACAGTACAGATGCAAGAACTAATCCACATTTTTGTTTTTTGAGGTTTTTTTTTTTTTAGATATACCTCAGTTACCTTGCTTTGTCTAAATATTTTAAAGTATTTTAAATGAAAGGTTAGATTCTAAAGTGTCTATCTAAAACAAGCAGAGCCATGAAGATAGAAAATATTCTAATGAAAATTTTAATGATTTAATTGTAACACTATTGTTAACTTAAAAATTACTGTGTGTTGTAGGTACAATCACTAAGCAAAGAGATATGCCTAACTCAGAATCAGGATTTTTTTTTTTCTTTGAGATGGGAAAGGGGCTAGGATGATGAAAACAGATCTGGAGGAAAAAAATTAAAATTGTCTCTGAGATGTCTAAACCAGTTAAAGAAGTGTATTTGTAAATTTCTGAATTAAAATCTGTGAATTTGAAGAGGAAATATCACAAATCTCCCTCAAGATGCAAATTGTCATGTTTCAAACCACAGCTATGCAGTTACAATATAGATCTCATACTTACTGCTGGTTTTCCATTGTTCATATTTGATATTGGACTCAGTGCTGGAAGAGACTGAAATCCCTGTTATTTTAACACATGCAAACAGATATGTTAAACATGTTACTCAGATCGGAACTTTAGACATTCAATAATTTTCTAAATAAAGCAAAAATTGAGGGAATCTGAAACTGTCCTACCTCTGAGAAATAAACCCAAAATGTGTAGCCAGAATACTTTCTCTACATACCATCAATTTGGTGTGTCACATAAATATGTGTTTGAAAGCTGTCCTGGCCAGAGCACTGGGTACAGTACCCGAGTGTACCCATTCCACAGTGCTCTGCCAGAGCTGGTGTCATCGCCGGATCACACCTCGAGTCCCGCACGGAAGCAGCCCGCTCTTGGCAGAAGCAGAAGACCAGTTCAGGAAAATGAAAACTGAGAGGGTAAGGAAGGTGTGGGTGGGAATATTTCTCAAGGCCTTGGTAATTCCCTCTTGTAAGCAATTGGCGTGTAGAGACCAGAAGGTCGATGATCTTCGGAGCTGTTTCAGGAACAGCGAAGTTTTCTTCTCTAGTTATGGTAAGTATGAGTAACAAACCACTGACTGTACCAGTTGGGAAACTCATGTGGTGTCAGCTGGAGGCTGCAGACTATTTCTTATAACATGAGGTCTAGACATTTTCCCAGTGTGCTAAGTGCACTTCTCTCTGACCTACTCTTAACTTTTTTTAGATTTCTTTCTGGCCATCTTCCTTCTCGCTGCTCCTTCCTAGCACTCTCTTGGCCCTTCATTATCTCAGCAGTCAGATCAATTAACCTGTCATCAATGAGACTGTTCTCTATCCCCTTTGCCACTTCTCGCTTTTCATCCTCCTGTGATTTTTTGGGACTGACAGCATGTTCACATGCAGGTTCATACAATAACTTGCAGAATGGGGTCAGGTACAAACTAACAATTGAGGCTTTAGAATAGAGCCTCAGCACACTGTGGAATAAGCTACATGCAGGTGACGATGATGTACCCTGAATACAGGATTATAATCTTTTAAAGAAAACCTGCTTTTCAGAAACACTTTTCTGAGTTTCCTTGAAAGGGACCAGGGCTTGATATGGCTGACTTCAGTGTTATGAAAGAGAGTACTGTTTTGTTGGGTTTTTTTTTGTAGGCAGCCTGCTTTGTTCTGCTTTTTGTAGATGCTGCTTTGTCTCTGCAGCGTTTGGAGTCTCAGAAGATAATGGAAACAGATGACTAGCCAGTGCAAACCAATTTGCAAGCTTATGTAGTGGTGGGATGCTTATTTTGAACTGACAAGTCTCAGTGGAAAATCATGTTGTGCAGCGATCTGCCTGCAACTTCTGCCAAATGTATTGCCTGTTTTTGCACATTTAGACTCAGTTTTTCACAGTCCAATATTTTGTACTTACATGGCTTGATATGGCTGGAGGAGGAAGGCTGTCAGCAGGGATAGGAATTAGCTCACCAAGCTGAAAGAACCCAAAAGGAAAAGCAAACAAAACCGTATCACCAGGAGCTTCTGAACTAAAAAAAGGAGCCTTTACACCCATGCTTCTCCACCCCTGTAAAAAATGTCTGCAACAACTCCATTTTGAGTAAGGGAGTTGGAAAGGATTAGGACGTAGTGCAATAGTACCTGCAATTTTCTCCATCCATTTCGAACACGGATAAAAACCTCACTGGTTTCACTCAGATAGATTAGCGTACCTTCTGCTACCAAATGAACTCTTTCCAACATACCCTCAATGTTTTGGAATGTCGTAACCTGTCAAGTAGGAAAATGAAACACGCTTCATCAGGCATACAAAACATTTTGCAAGTTAAATTGTTAATCTAAAGCCTCATTTGAACACATAAATGTCAAAGTTTCTTCCACAGGAAATGCTCATAAAGTCAGTTTTACATCATTTCATACAAAAAGCTTCAGTAACATTAATATCTTGCTACTTTGGTGTACCAGCATCATCATTCTGTGGACTGTAGTGTAACTACACCAATAGTTAATTTTGCACAGAGTGAAGACCATTGCATTTCTACAGTTTAGCATACCTAGATCAAAATGGCAGAGTTCAGAAGAGATTTGATAAGGCTTATAAATATCACACACAATTCTAGATACATTTGCTTCTGTTATATTTTTCTTGATGCTGTTGTGATCTCTTTTCTTTAAGGGTGTTTTCTTCCATCCCTTTTGTTATGTTTCCAGATGCCGCTAGTTTACACACCAAGTATTTTTCAATTTCTCTTTTATAGATCATCAGGAGGCTTAAACTGATGTCTGTCAGATGTGGACATTGCACTTATTACCTCTGTCTTTGTCACCTGAAGATAAGAACACAGTCCTCTCTAAGATGGGTTGCTTCTACAATCTGTTTGATAATTGCAGGTAGTGTAAAATCAGGGGCAAGTTTCTTGAAAGTGTCATTTCTTGACACTCGAGTGTCACTTCTTTCTCATTTCTTCACTGTCAGAAAGCATATTAATGCTTTATGAATCATGCAGACCATACTATAGATTTGCATATTGCTTTTTAATATTGGTTTTGAACTAAGTGGGCTTGAATCTCCTATCTAAGACAGTAGCTCCCAGCCTGTATCTACAGTTGTCTGCCTTGGGGCACCAGTCTTTGAACAGCTGTTTCTCCCCTGATCTGTAATCATTGTCAGGTCCTGAATTTCTATGAGAAAAGGCATTTAGCAGAGGTATGACACTATGGTGGGAAGGCATTAAGAAACTTACACACAGATTCTTGTTAGTTCATTTGATATGATGTAGATGATCTGAAAGTCTGCTTGTTTATTAGTGCATTCTCAAATGATTGCCAAAGATATCCAGCGAATTTGCTTTTCTATCATAATGTGAGAATGTGGAAAAGGAAAAAATTGCAATGAACCCCCTCTGCTAGCTTGAATAATTTTTTTTTTCAGAAACTACGACTATTTAATTTAGAAATTAACAAGACAGAAGTCTTAGCTGTCATTTTTACTGCATGGATATCTGGGATACAATTCTGATTTGATTCATGCAGTAAGAAAAGGAAACAAATTTATATGTATTCTCTGGCACAACTATTTTTAGATTTGCTAGGGAAATCTACAGTTTTCTTCTTAGAATCAAATGACCTATATTACTGGGTTTTAATCCAGTAATGTAAAGTGTTTTTTTAATGGAAACTGGGGATTCAGTAGTTATTCTAGTATTTCAGCATGTTAAGTTGCCACACTCCTTCAGAGACATTGCTTTGAACGTGGAATATGCACCTTTCCATTACTTTAGCATGCCATCAATCTTTGCATTTGTTTCAAGAGGCTGTTACTGACAAGGCAATGGACAGACTTCTCCTCTCATCACTTTTCCCAGATATATGGATTCCCTGCTGAAAAATTATGAGGTTCAGAAAACCAGAAAACATTCTAATAAATAAAAACACAGGACAGAGCTTTCCCTCCTCTCTCAGGGCTACCAATGACCACCAAAAGATTTGAAGCAAGGTTTCAATGGCAAACTTCCTTATTTTGCTGTCTTACCAGATTCCTGGTTGCAGGTGACCCTGGCTCTCCAGGAGGACCTGGTGGCCCAGGCATTGCGGCTGCTAAAATAAAACAAGCATACAGTACATGTTGAAGGTCATCTTTTTTGAGAGAGAAGGTGAGTGACATAAAGAAAGGACTTAGTGGTGGTGTGGTGTCTAGGAGTAGTGGGAGCTTTAAATAGCCATAGGCCTTACATAGTCAAGTTCTGAATAGCTGTGTTCAAGCCAACTACAGAAAATGCATTCTAAGGACTTTTTTAAAAGCAATGGTGAAACTTAGTATTTTCTCTGTTATTTGGGAGGTTAAGGTCAACAGATTGCAATGTGTTGTAGATACTCTGCAAATGAAGAACCAGATCCACTTAAATTGACCAGAATGCTCTTCTGCTAGCTGCTAATGACGTGTATATGGAAGAGGCAGAACTTTTAGCTCCTGCCCATGTGGGCTTTGAGGGAGTCATTATATCTTTTGCTCTAAAAGTAAACAAAAATCAACTTTTCCTTAGATAAAAAAATTCACAAGTGTAAGCTCAGCTTATGTTTCAAAGCAACTAAGAATTCTCCAGTGGTATGAACTTGAACTTCGAAGACTGCAGTCCACAACATCTAGTACCTAGTACCTGTCTCTACTCCAAAACTGAATTTCTTCACCTTGAGCTGAAAGTTCCTGTTTTCTGGAGTAAAAACTCCTTTCTTTTAAGGAAGGAAAGAAGGAAAGATATGGAAGACTGAAAGCAAGCATCTTGTGCAAATGCATATCATGATAACGGAGCTTTGAAGCTGTTTAGAAGAAAGAGCTTCTACACACAGACCCTGCTGAGCATCACAGTGTGTCCCAGCAGGGCTCTGTAGCTGAGATCTGGGCAAATCTTGTATTAACCATAAGTAGAAACTCCTTCTGTAGAGGAAAAGAGAGACGCACAGTGGGGGCAACAAAACAGGTCCAGGGGTATCCATGAGAGTACACCAGTATACTGCTGGGATGGAATATAAAAGGTTCAGTAAGAAATCTGATTAGGAACAGAAAGGCATGATGAGAGCTAGTATGACATTGAAGAAAGACATCTAATAGTTGGTGGATAGCTGTCAAACTACCTGAGCATGGGGAAGTCTAGCATGTCCTAGCATGCTGGTGAATCTGGAGTATGAAACATGCACAAAGAACTGCAAAGTTCAGCTCCTAACCACTCCCCAGTTCCTACCTTGCTGGGCACTTGAAAATGGTGTTCAGCTGCTCTTAGCTATGCAAATAGTGCTATAATCCCAAATATGGACAGAATTGCTCTTCAAAAGTGAAGGAGGAATGGAGGAATGTAGGAGTATTCTCTAAAACCAGCCTTTGGAGAAATTTTAGTGAGCACATGTGGTAACTCTCCCCACGATAATCAAAATCCACTCATCCACAGCTTACTGGATACAGCAACTAAACAGCCTGAAGGAGAGTAACAGAAGATAAGCTAAAGGAGCGTACCTTCTGCCTTCATAATTTTCAAAGGAATCAGGATCACAGTGATCTTCAGTGAAAGTGGAGCTATAAACTCCCCTCCACCCCCGCAAATACGTTCAGTGAAGAAAAAGTATTGACTATCTTCTTTTTTATTGGAGGATGATGAAGACTAATGGCAGAGAGGATAAACGGAAGTGTAGGCATGGAGTACTTACAATGATTTGTTTTGTCTGACTGGGTCTCTTAGCTAATATTCAGAAATGCTTAATATAAATTACACAGGAAAAGGCCTGAAGGCCTTTTTGGACTTTATGGATGCTGAGGATCTGTCCACATTATGATGAGCAGGGGCTAATTCAGGTACAGGCCTATGTTCCAACGTTGAACATATTAAAGATTTCTTCTTTCTCAAATGTTCTTCAGAGGATGAACACTTCTGATAGACACTCAATTAATAATATTTACTGGATGACAGATTGGAAATCTCACCTTATCCCTGGGCAGCTGTATAAACCAGTCTGACCAGGTTCAAGAAATACCTGGACAGAACAAATTGGAGACAGAGAGTTCTGCTCCCCAAACTAGCATACTGAAGGCACACATCTTGCGGGAAAACAGACTGATCATTAGTTCTCAGAACTGGAGATCTGTATTAGCTAGACCTACCCAAACTTGAGGCAGGATAGATCTGCATTATAGCCTCTCTATTAGGTTAACAATTCCCTTTCTGTTAGAACGCCATCTTCAGCTGAGATTAAGGAATGCTTTGCTCTGGTTTTACTTGGCTGGATTCCCATGCTGGCAACAGTTCCCAGAGAGAGGAATCAGAGTTGCTCACTTAAGCAGACGTGTCGAGTAATGTCAGAGGAGCCCAGGACCCCATCCACTAGAACCTAGTCTAAGAACTGGACATTAACAGTATGAGGTTTATCACTAGCAGACCTATGACCCAAGAGGAGTCAGAAGCACAAATGCCTTGAACTGCGATGGTTGGTTATAGCCATGTATTTCCTTTGATGCAAGTTTGAGATAATCTGCCTGAAGCTCCAGTGCCACCTTGCTTGCAAAGTTCCTCCCCTGGTGTGACTATTTGTGGCACATTTTACTCATTTTCTAATCCAATAAATTGAAAATCATTAAAGATACAGTAACCAATCCTCCCAAAGCTTTGTTCGGCATTTGCATGACAACTAGTTTTTAGAAGCAGTCCTCCAGCGGCTTCATTCTAGACCTAAACTCTACTGTGGGTACTGCCTTTATATCATAGAATCATAGAATCACAGAATCATAAAATAATTTAGGTTGCAAAAGACCCTTAAGATCATCAGGTCCAACTGTTAACCTAACACTACCAAGTCCACCACTAAACCATGTCCCTAGGCACCACATCTATGCACCTTTTAAATACCTCCAGGGATGGGGACTCAACCACGTCCCTGAACAGCCTGTTCCAATGCTTGACAACCCTTTTGGTGAAGAAATTTTTCCTAATATCTAGTCTAAACCTCCCCTGGCTCAACTTGAGGCCATTTCCTCTCATCCTATCACTTCCTACTTGGGAGAAGAGACCAACACCCACCTCGCTACAACCTCCT